TTAAATAAAGATTTAATTAGAAGTCTGTGTTTGTGTTCTTTATTATAATTAAATCATTTAGCAATATCATAAAATGTCCAGGCAGAGCTGCATATAAAATATGGTTTCAAATTATTTCAATAATTATCGATAGCGATCAATATGCATTTTTTTTATCGATAAGCTTTTTTTCTATATCGCCCAGCCCTAAGAAAAGCAAAAGAAAAGCAGTCAAAGCGATCGAAAGTTTGGTTTCATTTTAAGGATGAGAAAGATGGCAACGAGGCGCTTTGCAATCATTGCACAGTGGCAGTTACATCCGTGGGAGGAAATGCATACAACATGCAGAAACACCTGCGCACACAACATAGCATACATTTTAACGAATGCTGTGTTTTTGATGCTTCTGGACAGAAGCTAAAGTTACGACTAGCATGGAAGGCAACTCTGGTGGTAAGTAGCTAGTTTTATATCACTGGCTGTGCTTAATGTGGTTCCTAGTAAATCATATGCCATTTCTGAAAATAAACCAGTTTCCTACCTCTCTGTGGGGTTATTAAGGGGGTGTGCCTTTCTTGTTAATCCAGCCCTTCATTGCTTGCATGTTTACTTATCTGGAATTCTTACCAGGGCTCGATGTTAACCATCCCCCGAGGCAAGTAGTTTTTATTGTTGGAAGAGTACAAATTTCATTGCATTTGCCCGTTGGGCAAGTGCAATGATCGCAAAAAAAATTATTTATCACTCAAAATTACTTTAAAATCACAGACATTCGATGAAAACGACCCAGAAGCGTTCCCGGCGCCATTTTTGTTGTTTTGTACACATTCTTGCGTAATTTGGAAAAGCAACTGTGACTCGACTTGTGATTTATCTTAAGTTTTTAACCTGTCAAGTTTTTTTTTTTTTTAGATTGTTAACATTACAACTTATATTTTTCCAAGCACACAACAGTTTAAAGCATAGTTTAGTTTGAAAAGAATGTGCAGGAACCGCTTGGTTAGACTGTCTCGGTTCGATTCGCGTGTGTTGCGTTCGGTTCATGCGCTGCTCCTTTTTCTCATAGGCGAAGCGTGTACACTCCAGAGCAGAAGGTGGCGGTACTGCAACCAAAGCCAACCACCAGTAGTAAACAAGAAGAAGAAGCGAAGCAGCGTAGCCGGGTGTAGCAGAAAAAAATCAGTTGTG